TAAACTCTAGCTATTTGAGTTTTTTCAAAAAAGATTTTTTAAGTTTTTGTTATACACATATAAGGAAAATGGATGACCCCCGGGGCGGGGCCAATTTTGACCCCAGGGCTTTTATTTGAACAATTTTTGTAGACACTCACTAGCGATGTTTCATGCTTAGTATCTAAACTTTAGCTATTTGGTTTTTTTCACAGAAGATTTTTTAAGTTTTTGCTATACAAATATCAGGAAAATCAATGACCCCCGGGGCGGGGCCAATTTTGACCCAAGGGCTTTTATTTGAACAAACTTGGTAGACATCCATAAGAATATGTTTCATGCTAAATATCTTAGCTCTAGCTCTTTGGGTTCTTTAAAAGAAGATTTTTAAGTTTTTACTATATGCATATAGGGAAAATCAATGACCCCCTGGGGCGGGGCCAATTTTGACCCCAGGGCTTTTACTTGAACAAACTTGGTACACACCCATTAGAAGATGTTTCATGCTAAATATCTTAGCTCTAGCTCTTTCGGTTCTTTAAAAGAAGATTTTTAAGCTTTTACTATATGCATTATAGGGAAAATCAATGACCCCCTGGGGCGGGGCCAATTTTAACCCCAGGGCTTTTATTTGAACAAACTTGGTACACACCCATTAGAAGATGTTTCATGCTAAATATCTTAGCTCTAGCTCTTTGGGTTTTTTAAAAGACGATTTTTTAGGTTTTTACTATTTGCATATAGGGAAAATCAATGACCCTCTGGGGCGGGGCCAATTTTGACCCCAGGGCTTTAATTTGAACAAACTTGGTACACACCCATTAGAATATGTTTCATGCTTAATATCTTACCTCTAGCTCTTTCGGTTCTTTAAAAGAAGATTTTTTAGGTTTTTATTATATGCATATAGGGAAAATCAATGACCCCCTGGGGCGGGGCAAATTTTGACCCCAGGGCTTTAATTTGAACAAATTTGGTAGACACTCACTAGAAGATGTTTCATGCCAAATATCTAAGCTCTAGCTCTTTGGGTTTTATAGAAGAAGATATTTAAAAAAAAAATATTTTGGTTGCCATGGCAACCAGAGTTCTGCATGGAATTCAATTCTTTGAACAATTTTCAAAGGTGACCACCAAAGGAACATTCTTGTGAAGTTTGGATGAAATTGGCTTAGTGGTTTATGAGGAGATGTCATTTAAAGTAAAAGTTTACGGACGACGGACGGACGACGGACGGACGCCGGACGAAAAGCGATCACAAAAGCTCACCCTGTCACTTTGTGACAGGTGAGCTAAAAACTACTCTTTTTATTTTTTTCCATTTTACTCATTTTGACAAATTTGTTAGTTGCAAAATTTACATGTATGTAGTGGTGGGGTTTGTGTCAAATAAACACTCGGTGATGGTTTATATATATTTATTCTATAAAGAATAAAACTTGTAACAGATAAAATAACTTTAAGACTTTACATTACATAACAATTGTTTTACAAGACAAATACATTTCACAAAATACATAATATAAAATATTATACAACAATTCCAATTACAATGAAAACAATTTCACAAATAATAGTAAATATATACATACCGGGCTTGATAGAAGAGATTCTAATGTTATAAATTTAATATAGATATCAAGTATGTTTATCAAGAAATAACTGAGACAACAAAGATATTATAAACTTTTAAGTGATCCTATTACTTTGGAAGCAATGAAAGGAGTGCTCAGTTATCAAGAAATATTAGCTATCCCAGAACCAAAACATCTAAAATATAGTTTGCATACCAAAATCAATCATCCTTCACTCAACTTGCAAAACCAGTTCAATTACCTATTACAAAAAGACAAACATGAACACATAACACCACAATGGATTTGGTCTAGCCTTTAAGGGAAATTACTACCGTAAACATTCTAAAAAGATAACTTGGCTAAATGTAACCTTATCTAAATGTGAGAAGTCAAAATAAAAATTTTGCAAAATACTATACTTACAAAATATCAAACTCGTTTGTATAGTTTTGTTGCCAATTGAAATCTTTGACTTGAAATACTGCCTCCCACTTTAACAGGTATTTTAATTCTTTATTATGGTATTTTTTCTTTTCTTTTTGAACCATTGTCAATTTTCTATTTAAGACCTGTGTTCGTTTTGTTGTTTTTTTTAACTTTAAAATATTGATTTTCCAAAATATTTATTTCTCAAGTTGTCACAGAGGGTATGCTATTATCTAGATTGAAGAGATAAGTCTATGGTAATTCAGAAACTCAGTATTAGGAAGTATCAGTATCAGCGCTTGCAAAATCAGTAAAAAAAGAACGCTATTTCAATGTCGCAAACAAGTTAAATTTCACATTTATTTCACTATGAATAATTTGTGTTTGTTTGAAAAACATAAAGTGAAATAAAATAAACACACATAAATTGTATCCATTTTTTCAAATTTCATTATTTACAAAATGTGTGTGCAAACGGAAGACTTACCGACAGTTTTTTAACCGGCTGTAACATCCTTTACAGAACGTTTTGTATTGGAAACTAAGAGAGGAAAACTAATTTAACCATCAAACATTTAATCCAACTGCATATGTTTTCTCTTGACGTGTTAGAATGGAAATATATGTTGATTCTTTGTGCATTAAAGTTTAAATGGTTGTTTATGTCAGGTGACCGCCGAAAAGAGGTGACCGTTAGTACAGTTTCTTCTGTAATAATGCTTGTTGTTTCGTTCAAATGCTTTGTAATTAATCATTCAGGTCTATCGGCCTTCGTGACTATATTCCTAGAAATTTGAACACAAACCGTGCATTATTGTACAACAATGCACTCAGAATTGCAATTACAAAAGATGTCGAAATCCAGAAAAAAAACATTCTTTTACTTTTAAATCTCCACTAAAAAGCACACAAAAAACCCATTCATTTCAATGTGCAATTCAAAATATAACCAACTATTGTTTTGTATCAAAGTAAAAAAGGAATAACAAACTGAGTGTCATATATTAAAATAATATAAAGAAATACAAAGAAAGGGAAACAACCTGAAACTACTACATTAACACAGAATGTAACATGCTGATATACATGTTACAAGAGGAAGGTTTAAAATCGTTCAAAATGTTGAATTCTGTAGAATTAAAAAAGTTTACAACTATTGTATTTTAGGCGCATTATCCCACAGAAATGTTTTAATGTTTCCTTTGTTTAAAAGTGGAAATATGAATTAATCTACTATCAAAAAAGACATCTAAATCATGGTAACACCTTAAGAGTTTGTTGGAAAATTGTTGGTTTATAGAGTCAATTGTGAAACAATTTGCCATCTAAATAGCAACATATAAATAATGTAGCATTTTAACGTCCATAAAAATATTAACAACAGAATAAAAATATCGTTCAGTTAACTTGCAAATAAATCACTTTCTAGAATCTGTTTTTGAGCAATAAAAACGCATTTCTTATCCATAGTGGGCCTTTAATAAATTTGCGTTAAATGTCAGATGCAGTTAAAGAAATGATTCCTTCCAGTTTGCACCTTTTGAAATGAAGATAATGTTCCAGAATATTTACTTTTTATTCAATTTCTGAAGGTGCCTACAACAGATTGACAAGGATGTCATCTTGTGACATGTTCATTCCCATCATTTAAAAATGTTATTAAAATATCGTTGGCATGTTTTGAATAAAAGATAAAGAAAAGACCACAAAAATGAGTTAAAATGCACTCTATTCTTTTATATTTAATATCTGCAAACAACTTGACGCAGAAAATTAAACACAAGTTATGATAATTTCATAATTTCATAATTTCCCTTACAGATGAAACTAATTTCAAATGATAATGATGCAATTAAAGATTAATATAAATTTAGGTTAAGGTGGACGAAATATTAAGATTAATCGGCATTTTCTGTAAAACCTGTCTTCATCCAAATATCTTACACCTGAAAGTGATTTTAACTTCTGGCCCTAATGAAAAGCATTATCCTGACTTTAATTTATTGTTTCATGAAATTAAAATTGATTTTAAATTGGGAAAACATTAATTGGTAAATAACAAAATGTTACAAAGTGTTGATTTAAAAAAAAACAACACTATTTTGGGATTTAATTGACGAATAACAATGCATTCAAATATAAAAATGATGATAGGATAAAAATAAGGACCGATTTAGTATCAGGATCAATATTTGGATCAACTTAGTCTGTACAATGTTGATAAGATCTTGTACTATAGAGATGGCAAACATAAGTATTATTAAATCAGGTAAATCAGTTAGAACCATAATCGAACTATAAAAATACACATAAAATAAAAAGCCTTTGAGATATAGAATAGAAGTAAAAGCATTTTTGGGGGCATGTTTTAATTTTTGATTGATTCAATAAATTGAACAAATACGTAAATTATACACTAAGCATTTATTCAGTAAGAAATATACTGCTCTTGATTTTCTATCAATAGCTCTTAAGGTCGTTGGTAAGCGGGTAGGCATGTGTGTGCATGTTTTTTATGTCAATTTAAGTTGCAAGAAATGTAAAAAATGTCATGATCGTGAGCAATTGTGAAGCTAAAATAAAACGCTTTTTATGAAAAGAATGTAATCCATGCGAAATCATCAGTTACGTATTGGTGGATATCCCTATATGTTAGTTTTAGTAACTTGTGTTAATAGTCTTTGCATTGCATGAAATAATTTATTGATTTTACTGGGTATTTATTATAGTGGCAGTCATTTTGGAAGTCCTAGTGAATATTGAACATAGCAAAATAATTTAATATATTCTTTTATTCTACAACTATCAACTAAGGAAATTTCGATCTTCATCTGTTATTTAATAAGGACTTGAATTGTCTTTTTTATTTATTGGCATTGAATTGGCAAAGGGATTCTTACACTTACCGTAGACGAGAAAACAACAAGGGACACAAGCAAAAATGTCACCAAAACAGTGTGAAACAACATAGACATACATCTGAAGAACACAGAGGGATTAATGATAAATATATATTGAGAAATTTCTTACGAATAACAAGTGTCATTCAGAAAATCATTTAACACTTGTAATTAACAATATTTAATTGTAAATTGAAGAAACAATATTGTTTATTGTTGTATAAAATGTTTACACTATATAATTTTCTAGTGAAAGCAGAAGAACATACTTTATACTATTTGTGTAAGTCTTGAATATAAGTTTCATGGTTATGAAGTGATCTGAATATATAATAAGTTATATTTTGATATGATTTGATGTAATTAGTCTTGTTTCTTGAATATACATTTTGTCTTATTTATTAATTTATAATTTGTCTTGATTTGATATTGATCAAAAATAAACATCACTCCCTGTAAGTTTTATATTTATTTTTCTTTTGAAGTTCATTTTTCTAGCGTAGCACGGCGACGAAGTAAAACCGTCTCCAGTTCATTTGTAAGGTCATCACTTGGATTTTTATCTTCAGCCTTCTTAACGTAATAACCAGGGATGTATCCCTGTCTCCCGCTTGCTTCAGCAAGGAACCAATCTTGATTACATTTTTCCAAGACCGCCACTACATTTCCTTCCTTGAGTTCGATTTCATCCTGCGCTCTTGGTTCGTAATCCCACAAAGCTATATATTTTTCTAAATATAAATAAATATAATAAATCCTTTACTGGTTAAATGAGCAGTTTCTGTTAGGAATTTAGATAGTTCTTATTACGTTTTGTACAATAACGCTCAGTAAAATTAATTAAAGAAATATTTTAAATACATTTTATGTCAAAAGAAAGAAAAGGTGTAAATATGCATGAACCTTTTGTCTTATTAATTTGTTCATAATATCATTCATTGGAATACAATTAATTCTCAAAACATATATCTCAAGCCACAAATACAAATGATTTCGATGAAATCTGTCCGTAAAATATGAAAAACAAGATCAACAAGGAAAGGCGGCGTTCAATGAACGCAACCCCCACATGACCCAGCAACAAGAACCAGTGGCAAGGAGCCCAGACGGACCCAAACAAAAAAGGACAGGGCACAAGGCAGAGCAAGGACAGGCTAATCACTAAAATGATAAATAAATTGTAACTGAGAAGGAATTCAAAGAAAACAAATAGAATATTGAACAATAGGCCCACAAAGTTAAAGGGCACAGGGTAAGGGGACAGGTGACTCGGGGAAAGGAGGGGGTAAATTAAAGACTTAAAACTACGGGCAAGGGGGAGACTTACCGTAGACTAACCGTAGACGAGAAAACAACAAGGGAAACAAGCAAGAATGTCACCAAAACAGTATGAAACAACATAGACATACATCTGAGGAACACAGATGGGCGCCGCATTGGAACGGTCAGCAGCACAAATACTGCTGGGGAGTTTAAACTGGTAGATGGTGCACCAAACCTCACTTTTAGCCCCACCATGTTCCTATAAACAAACACAGAGGGGCGTCGCCTTGGAACGGTCAGCAGCACAAGTACTGCTGGGAAGTTTAAACCGGTTAATGGTGCACTAAACCTCACTCTTAGCCTCGTAAAACTTACTTTAAGTTTTCTTTATAGTCGATTTCAAATAAAAGCAAATGACTTCTTGCTTCAGTTGAACTAACCTGGCTTTTGTTGAGGTACCGGTATCATATCTTGACAGGATTGGACATAGAATACAGGATCCGGATGTGCTGCTTGCTCTCGTTCTGTACTTGGAATTGGAGATCCTATACATTAAAAACATCATTTGTTTCTTTACATTTAGCCTGGTGAATAAGTGTAAAAGGTTTGCAAAACTTCGTATTTAGAACAGTTTATTTAAGTGTTTAAAAGTTTCAGTAATGAAGTTACAATCAGAATAGAGCCTGGTCAACTTCGGTGACCGAGTGGTTGAGATCTTTGGCCTAAAAACACTTGCCCTTACAGTTGTCATCTCATTCATGTGAGGAAGCTATCCAGCTAGCTCATGGACATTTGTTGTTCTACTCAAATGCCGGATGTGTCTGAAATAATGCAAAAAGGGCACCTGTGGTCTGTCTTTATCAGAAAAGCTTCGGCATCGCAGTTTGACCATAACAGTGTTTGTGTGACTTAAAACAGAGCATAGAAAAGCCTTGTCAGACTGCATGATTGTCGAGTTTGAACAGTTGAGTTTGTCCCAGAAACAGACTAAATCAAATCGAGCCTGCAACATTTTCAGTTTTGTTGTGTTGGACTTTCTTTAGGGATTCTGTATTTCTCTAATTTTTGACATGATTTTAATGTGTGTTAAATACTGATCACATTTAGTTAAGCAGAATTAGGGGCTGAATAATTTTCAGTATAAATCCTTATATATACTTATATTGTTTTCCTTTGCATTTTTGCAATAACGGCATACTTTCAAGCCAGGATTGTTTATTTGCAAAGTAGAAATAATATCAAATTGTTTAATATTAAAAAAATCATTATATGCTTGATAAGTAAATAGTGGAATGAATTTGACAATTTCTCAGTTCATCTGAACTGTTTTTGATTACTGATGATAATAGTTGAACGATATTGAATGTAAATTATTTTTAAACAGCTCTCCCTCTTAATTGAATTATTACCGATGTCTAACGAGAAGAAAATCTATTATTTGCATAGTAGTTAAAACATTCATCATAATCCAATTAAATTAAATGTTATCATAAACATTGTGATGTCATGATTTTATGACTTCTTAAAGCAGTGGGTATGCTTTTACCGCACAATAATCAGTCTAAAACTCTTATTGTTTCTCTTTTGTCCAAAACAAGGATAATGTATGTTAAACTTTATATGTAACAATAACCAAACACAAAGGACATATTACTCTGGGAATTAACATCTATCTTTACTGAGACCTGATCTGAGACAGCCAAACCCTTGTCTTAATATATTTGAGATCAATCTCAAATCTCAAATTAAAACTTGTCTTAGGGATTTTTAGTGAAAGGTAAATTGAGCAAAATCTTAATCTAAGTTTCTGAGTTGTGATAAATCTCAGATTTGAGCAGAAGTTCTGATTCTGAGAATATTAGTGAAAGCCGGATCTGGGCTCTTACACGATTATTTTTAGTGTTGATATATGTGCATTGGTATGTAAAATGGTAGCCTTAGGTTTTCAGAGATTGCACTGCACAATGGTCATAATTAAAATCCTGCTTTTGTAGCATTGTCATGCTTCTTGTTTAATTAATTATTATGTTTATTACATTGTGTTTGTTTGATTGGAGTTTCCGTCGTACCGACACCATATAGGTCATATGGCGACTTTCCAGCTTAACCTTTGGATTAAGACCTCAGGTGCCCTTCCGTGCATCATTTTAGGCACACAGAATTGAGTAGAACCACCGAATCTAGCTTTATAGCTTTCTCACATGAAAGAATCCCAGTCGGGATTCGAGACCACAGCGGTGAGGGGCAAGTGGTTTGAAGTCAACATCTTTAACCACTCGGCCACGGGCGCCCTATCAAAACATTATCGTCAATAAAAAGAAACACTTAAATGTGATGAATACTTCATATTAAACATTTTCTATCAAATATTTTGAAAAAAATGCTTGTGAATTAAAACATGAAATCAATTGAAATTTTACCTGGTTTTTGTGTCTGCTCAATTTCCCGAAGTTGTACCTACAAAAATTGAGATTGAAGTGATTTGAACACATTTTTGATATAATAGTGATGCAATTTAAATAAAACCGATGGAAAATGACAATTTTACGAATAATACAAGTGCAAATATTCAAGTAATGCTTTTGATTTTTCAATGACGATATTGATGTCAAAATTAAATGATATGTAATTTGATCGTATTTTTCAAGGAAGCTATTACTTGGTAGACACTTAAGTGAAATTACCATTTGCTAGTAAAAGATTCCGATGAGCTTTATGATCAACTTACTTGTTGTAAAAGCATTATATAACATGTATGAAGTGAAAGTTATGAACATTAACTCCTGGAAAAATATATAAGTTCCGTGATCATTGTTTCCTATCCTCGCCGACCACAAACCCGAAAGGATGAAAAATGCAAAATATATTTATATTAGACGTCATTAATGTGAAAAAACAGCATACATTATAACCGTAGTTACCGTATCTGTACTTTGGTGCCACGTGTTCCTTCGTCGCCGTATGGTTCCAGGCGAGGGTTTTCTCGCAATCGGAGGTGCGACAGCTTTAAAATATGTTGTTAAAGATTAATGTTAATAGTCATTTGCATCCATTTTCACCAGGTACCAATTTATTTTTTTATCGACTTCGATAAATTTCGAAAGTAAACAAAATTGTTGATAACTTTTGATAAAACAAAATCAAAACATTTCAAAGAATGTTTACTTACAGACGAATATTAAAAGCCATATCATCACCATCGTATTTACCAATTCCAAATCTTACCTTAATATATTTATTATGTAGAAGAGATAAAAAAGAGATCAAATTTTAGTAAAAATGAGTCCTATTCCTTTAGAACAATTATTAAGAAACAGTTGCATCTTCTATTCAGATCATTGGAAAATATATTACAAATTCTGCTAGCTGCAGCATTGTGAGGCATCCTCGTAATAACTTGTTCATCTTCAGCATCTGGATCTTAATAAAGAGAACAACATCAAATTAACAAGTAGAATATAGTGCCCTAGACCTTTGATATACTGGACGCAGTAAAAATAGTCTTAACTATTAAAAAAATCAATAACAATATTAAAATGAAATGTCCAACCACTTTCAAACACTTAACAAGCCTGTCAGCATGTCACCATGTCAATGAAACGGACGAAATTAGAATAAGAGAAGAATATATAAAAGAAAACATAACAATGATGAATCTGAAGTATTCATCCGTTCAGTAGCACAGATAACATGAGTAAAAATTGAACATTTTAAAGCAAAGTTCTATGATTGAAACGAAGACGATTATTGAAAAAAAAAAGATGCAAGAGTAATGCACCTTGTTATAGATGCTGTAAGTGATGACAAGTGACAATTAGCTTAAGAATCTTATAATAAACCATTTTATCAAAGAATTCTTAAAATTGTCAATTTTCAAAAAGATTGTCAGTTCAAAATTGAAACATGGAGCTGACGCTTAATTTTATATACATTCATTCATTCATTCATTCATTTATTTATTTATTTATTAATTTTCATTCATGAATTAATTCATGAATTAATTCATTCATTCATTTGTTCGTTCGTTCGTTCGTTCGTTCATTCATTTATTCTGCGTCCATATGAAATCATAGCATTCGATACGTCTGGCATACTGTCTTATGGACGTGTAAGTTTGTAAAAATAACCCAGATAAATTGCTTATGTTTATTTATGGAACATAATTCCTATTTATCATTTATTTGTTTTCGATATTTAAACACAATTGTGGACAATATATTTTTAACCATAAGTAAATACCCAGATACAATGTATCAGGGTCCAATAAATGTCCCGTTTTATTACCTTCCTGGTCTTCCCTTTGCAACAACTAGCGCAGAACGTATACGTAGGCACAGAAGTGCATGAATATGACACTTGTCATACATACCTATGAACTTTTAGATCGCTAAAGGAATGTCATTAAAAAATATATTTAATTTTTGAATGTATGAATGTGTACGTATATGTACATACACAAAAGAACAGGCTGAAATGCCCTTAATTGCATTATTTATAATGATGTAAGCGTCCGCCCATACATAATATTATATTTTGCATTGAGATACATGTATGTTCAAAAAAAATTTCAATGACTTTAACAATAACCAGGTATCAGTTTATAGATTATCATATTTTTTGTATTCGATTTTGACAAATTTCGAAAGGTAACAAAGATGATAATAACATTATAATAACATTAACATTATCATTATGTAACTTTAATTAAATGAGATTCAATTTCAGTAAATTGGTTGTTATAAAGATGATTTTTATCCCACAAAGTTTCGCGTTTCTTAAAAAAATCATCTTTATCCTCAAAGACAAAAAAAAAATGTTATTTAAAAAAAAAACTTTATTTAGTAATTGTTTTGATCACAAAATACCTGAACATCCATTTACTGTTTCTAAATTATGGAAACAAAGACCAAAAGAAAAGAAGGCAGTCAATCTTATTAAACCTTCTTCAATGTAATGCAAACATTTTTTCGATAATTTATCATCTGTTATAAATGAAATATTTCCCTCTATAATATCATAAAATACATATATACTTCCTGATCAGTTTCAAGTTTTATCAATCAACTGAACAGGTTGTTTTATCTACATGTGCTCAAAAGGTAAGGTATGTAGAATTGCTTAATAAACATTCTTATAGATCTTAAATAACATATTTCAAGTGTTGAATATTGCAACGATTATACACGTCTTATAAATAAATGCGCTATACATTATTCGTAAGTTTTTTACTGCTGAAAGACACTACACATTTCAGACTCTGTATTTGAAATAATGTCGGTCTCATAAGTTCACAATTCTCATGTATCTTAGATATATTAATGAAATATGATTATGAGTTAGTGATTTGCTTTGACATATGCATGGTTCCAATTTTCGCACAAAGTAAAGAAGTCCTCTTGATTTGGTAACTTGATAACCTACCGTAAACATCCATTTTATCTTCATTTGCCACTTCTTCTTGTTCTCTTGAATGGGTCTGACGTGGTTGCACACGAGCACCACAATGTTTTACTTCAGTGTGATATGACGTCATCGTATCACGTGACGGTACAAGTTTCTGTGTCACGTCCACTATAAAAATGTTGAAATATAGGTGTTTTTTTTTAATAATCGTGGTCAATTTCATTTATTTATTCATTATTAGAATATGAAGCGCTATTATAGCTCGGAAAATCAAAACACTGATTTCACGCGCTTAATTTGTTTGGGTCTCAAACAAAACAATATTTTTTAAAATCTTTTTGAAATCTTCACAGTCATTACTCCTGGTTATTTATTACCAACAGTTATTTTGTAAATTTGACACACAAAAAACATCATAGCAGACTCTGCACATTAAATACATGCGAATTTGAATAATTTAAAAGATCATAATCTTTTGAATTTATGCCACAACTTGTTGATTGATCTACAACAATACGGCAATTACCACAACCTTTGTATTTTCTATTTCCTTTAATAATAGACACCGGTGGTTTGACATGTTTTTACTCACTACACCCTTTCAACATGTTATTACATACATATAGCATGTTGTAGCAACTGTAGCGTTTGGTAAATCATGCAATATGTCGTGAAGTAATTATTTGCTAACTGTTAACTTATGCAAATATATACGACTAAAACAAACAAATCGATGTTAATTTATTTCAATCATTTCATATTGTAAACTGAAAAGTTTGATTTGCTACAATTGTTTTTTTCTGCATATTATAACGGATATTTGATTAATCGGAAACAGTTACTATTATTAATTGTTCTCTGAGAACGGTGAAAGATTAATAGGACTGCTATTCATACAAAATGGCTATTTTCGGATTTGCCAATCCGTTCATCCGTTTAAAATGAAACTTTAAATGCTGTGAACACAGATTATTTCAAATTGAATTGTACTATGTACACAACTTTGACGTCATCACTTATGACGCCATAAACCGTAAATGGCGTCACGTTACGGGTGTCCGTTCGAAAATGGCGTCACACAGCGTCAACGAACAGCGCATCGTTATAAAATTTTACACACAACTCGGAAAGTCTTTTTCCGATATTAGTGAAGATTTGCAAAAGGTTTTCGGAGAGGCTGCTCTGTCAAAAGGAGCAATTTTAATGTGGATAGAGCGGTTTAAAGACAGTAGATAAGCAACTGAAGGCGACAGTCGTGCAGGTAGACCAGTGACTGTAACCGATGAAGAAACAGTGGCTGCCATGTAGGAGTACATACTCCGAGATAGACGAGTAAGTGTGGATCACGTAGCAGATAAGTTCGTTATTTCATATGGTACAGCTCAGGGCATAATGACTGATAGATTAGGAATGCGCCGCGTTTCAGCAAGGTGGGTGCCTCGTTTTGTTGATGTCGGAGCAGATAGGGTTTAGGGTGAAAATGTGTCAGCACTACGACAGGAGGTATCGTGAAGAAGGCGATTACTTTCCAAAGCGAGTGATAACATGTGATGAAACGTGGATCCACTTTTTTGAACCGGAGGCAAACGTCAGAGTTCTGTTTGGAAGCATCCTTCCTCAGATTCCCCTACAAAAGCGATAATTTCCAAGTCAACCAGGAAGTTTATGGCCATTATATTCTGTGATACATACGTTGTAGTGCTAGACCGATTTGTTCCTCCGAAAACGACAGTTACTGGGAACTATTATGCAACATTACTTAGAACGGAACTCATGGCGGCAATTACGAAAAAGCGCCCACATCTACTTATGTCCGGATTCATATTACATCACGGCAACGCGCCGAGCCATTCAAGCCACGTTGTCATGGATACACTAGAAAAACTCGACGTCGAACTGTTACCACACCCACATTACAGCCCGGACCTAGCAATTGGTGATTTGTGCCTGTTTCCAACTTTAAAAAACAGTCATTTTTGGTACTTGAATTAAATCAATTCCGCGCTATTGAATTAGTTTACGAGTTTATTGATGCACCCTCGTACGGTATTAAAATGTTTGCTTGGGTCACAGTCGAATATAGAAAAAAACAACACGATATCTATTTTAAAACTTGAATTTATACGTTATGTTATTTTCAAGAATTTAGAAATGTAGCTGAAACAGATAAAATTCTGTATTATTTTTCATTTGGGTATGATTACCTTCGGGAGACGTAAATGTCTTATCCAACAAAACACCAAATTCCTTCTCTTCCTTTAAAAGCTGTCCCACCATGTGCCCTGGTTGAAATTTATGCCTTTCAAAATAATTGTATACATATAACTATAAATATCATATAAATATAATGAATGCAATGGTATATATTGCTTTCTTGATAAAAACTCCGCGTGAAAGATACTGAATAATGGCAGTGCTTAGGTCACATTGGAATATTGCTCAAACCGGTGCTAGGTGTCGCGTGGACAATAATTGCACTTTTCAGTACCGTCCATAAACATACTCAATCAAGCCTATAAAAAAATACTTTTGCCGAACTGGGATTTCATGAGAAGTTTTATTCATTTTAGTTTGCCCTACATTTTTACTTGTTCCTTCACATTTGCAATATTCACACCTGTGTAAACATAAATAATTGTCAAGTGTATTAAAACAATGGGGATAAGAGTGCAACATTATTTTGGAATACGTTTAAAGTTTTAAATTTTTTATGATTATTATCAGAGTTCTAATTTTGAGACAATTTACGTTAGATAAGATATACTTATATATAAAACTAAGCTAGCTGTGATATACAGTTTCAGATATAAGAGTACATGTATATTAAATTTAAATGTAGAAATTCATATAGGTATATCATAAACTGTTACCTTTCAACAAAATTCAGTTTTTCAATTTCTTCTAGCTGATTTTCAATTTGTTTTAAATTATCTTGTGATTTTTTCATAGCTATAAATAATGCTACGTTCTGTCCACTCTTCCTTTTTTCATCGATTTCCTGACGAATTTCTGAAGTTTTATTCTTATTCTTCAACAATTGCTCATTCACATTTAGTAATCTGGTCTTGGACTTTTCGTACTTGAGCCGAATCCTCTTATATAATTGCTTGTAATGTTTTTCAATCAGATTTATCAAGTCCTGTTGATACGTCTTAATCAAAGATTCTGCCTCTTGTTTAAAATGAGCTGTTATTGTTTCCATTTTGTAATTATCTGACAATGTTTCATTTTCACGTCTAAGAATAGTAGAAAGTTTTTCTTCATACTCTGCAAACTCCTTAGTTTCAACGCAGTTAGTAGCTGCTACTTCAATTGTCTGTATCTTCTTATGATCTCCACTATTATGCTCTGTTGCCTGGCAAATTAGACAACACACTTTGTCACAATCCACACAAAACATTTCTATAGCATGCTTAGGATGCTTGTCACATAATGCAGAAAAAACATCTAGTTTTCCTGCATCATTTTCTATATGTTTTCGTTTGGTTATCTTCCACATCTTAATGAAACGAAAGTCACGATGTATCAATAACTCATATGTGCAAATAAATCTCTCATTACAAAATGTCTACAATATTTACTCTGTCGCACATGACGTAGATTTGTTTTCACGGCTTGTATTATTTTAGCAATCTTATTTCAATAAGCGATATACTAAAACAATGTATCCACTTTTGTTTAAAAAAGAACATATGAGATAAAATATTTTAATGACTCTTGAGTGATAAAAATAACTTCACTTTTAAAACATAAATCATAGTAATCATAAAACTGTCGCGACTTATATTTCATATGGTTAAGTGAATACGCCGGCAAATTTTTTAGCTCTACTTGAAAAAAGATATGCTTCGGGCATGTTACCTTGAATAAATATTTCGAATTCAAAACTCAAAAAGATGTCATCTGTTTCATCTAGAACTGCAGCAGGGATGACGAAAACAACCACATTCTCTGTGGCATAATATTATGAAGGTCTGTATATCATTTATATTGTATGGTGAACATTTCAAGACGTACTGAAATTAATCCGCCTCAAATTTCAAAAGTTGTATTAGATTAATAACATAGAGGATATTGAATGAGTTTTGTTTGAACGGACTGAATCAAATTATATTTTGCGAGCCGCTTGCGAGCAAAATATTGTTTTATTTAACAAGTTCAAGAAGTTTAGTAATAAACTTACAGGAATATATAATATGCTATTTATCACATACCGAAGTAAGAATTGTTTATAGTAGAAACAATATATTTTTCGGTGACGCGCTCATAGAGTAACGTACACATAAGCGCATAAGCGCATTGTAACGCTATGTTTGTATAACGCAAGTGACGCCACGTCAAAATAGATGCACGGCCGTGCAATACCGTTTTACGTAGTCGCAAAATCGCCACGGGTGTGTGATAAATCATTTTATTAATTCGTCAATAATTCGTTAATTTAATGGTTTTTAATGGGATTTAATGTTCTTTGTTGTGATAAGGTTGTTCGAAAGAATTACCGGATTTTGTAACACTTAATAATTGTTTTCTCTAGAGGACTGCAGATTCATTAAATATTGTGTTGTTGTGTTTTATTTTTCTGATGAAGGGATATTTTTACAGTTACTGGTATTGGTTTATTAGAGATGATTGTTAAGAAAAAGTATAAGAGTACACTTTTGTTGGTAACAGAAGTAAACTTTATACGTCATATTTGTTTAAAGTACATTTAAATGTTCATTTTACGTCTTCACTTAAAAACAAAATTATAATTAAGACTTGAGCATTATTTCTTTAGCTTTGCATTATTTGTGTTTTAAAAGAATAATATTTCAACTGATGGACCTTGATACGAAACTAAAAAAAACATAATAATGGCTTTAAATTAAAACATGTCTGGCATTTTTCCAAAGTTTGTATAGATATGAGTGACAAACTAGACAGAAAGTTATAAAAAGCTATCATGTAATATACTGTGTGAGTTAACATCTTACGTCCTTGTTGAAAGGTATTACCCCTTTACTTCATATTGGCTACTGTAATGATAACCAATACACTCTTATCAAAATAGTGTACCTCATCAGCATAACGATAATTGTCTCTAAATCACTATTATAAATTATCTTGCTTAAATCATTTTGCGACCAACATAACGGATTTTTTCAATTTAATTTTCTTTCTAATGGTGTATTTTAGATAAAGTGTGAGATACAAAATTTATATTAAAAATGATGTAGAATCGGTTAAATTGAGTCTTCTCATGAACGGTACTGTCAAGTGCAAACTTGTAATCTGATTTTTACACTATAACACCTATTGTATAACAACTTTAATTTTCAACTGCAGGCAAACAAGCTTGTAGGTCAAAATCGAACACACACTATAAAATACTGATGCAAAATTTAATAAATTTAACCATACGGAAAGCGTCCTGGTAGTTTAAAATCATCTTAAGTTTACGCTTTGGGTTTAGTAGTTTTGTGTTAAACACACGATATCGATAATATTGATAAAAACTAGAAATGTGTCCATAGGACACGGATGCCCCCACATGCCACTGTTCTGTCAATCTTATGACTCTAGGTCAAATATTTTATGGACTACATGTGCCACAAGTTGAAAACTAAAAATCAACAAAGGGCCATAATTCTGTTAAATTTGGTCGCAGCAAAAATTCCTTCCTTTACTACCATCTACACATAAAGGTTGTTAATCCCTGGAAGTTTAAGCAAAATCTGCCATCCGGTTTAAGAGGAGTTGCATTCACAAAATTTCTACATAGTATATAATGAAAAAATCAACAAAGGGCCATAATTCTATTAAATTTGGTTGCAGCAAAAATTCCTTCCTTTACTACCATCTACACATTAAGGTTGTTAATCCCTGGAGGTTTAAGCAAAATCTGCCATCCGGTTTAAGAGGAGTTGCATTCACAAAATTTCTACATAATATATAATGAAAAAATCAACAAAGGGCCATAATTCTGTTAAATTTGGTTGCAGCAAAAATTCCTTCCTTTACTGCCATCTACACATTAAGGTTGTTAATCCCTGGAAGTTTAAGCAAAATCTGCCATCCGGTTTAAGAGGAGTTGCATTCACAAAATTTCTACATAGTATATAGTGGAAAAATCAACAAAGGGCCATAATTCTGTAAAATTTGGTCACAGCGAAAATTCCTTCCTTTACTACCATCTACACCTTAAGGTTGTTCATTCCTGTAAGTTTAAGCAAAATCTGCCATCCGGTTTAAGAGGAGTTGCGTTCACAAAATTTCTACATAGTATATAGTGAAAAAATCAACAAAGGGCCATAATTCTGTTAAATTTGGTCGCAGCAAAAATTCCTTCCTTTACTACCATCTACACATTAAGGTTGTTAATCCCTGTAAGTTTAAGCAAAATCTGCCATCCGGTTTAAGAGGAGTTGCGTTCACAAAATTTCTACATA